AATGTACTGTTTGGACACATGAAAAATCTGGAAACTCATTGAAAATGTGAAGTATTAAATTAATTTCGAAATTCTCTTGAACCAGCTCTCTCGCCATCGAAAAGGGTAAACTTTATAATTTGAATAAATTAACATTCGTTAAGTTGATTGCTTTTGTAATAATTTGCTTTTCGCATCATCCAAAGCGATCATGTTTTCATTTTCGTTTGTTGTGTATACTTTTTCTTTATATATATGTTTTGTTTTTCGAATCGTGATGGAAAATTTACATTTTGTTCGCGATACATATTCGAAAATAGATATTTTCTATTGAAATAAACCGACTTCATAATCGATTCGTTGTAAAACTATTACATAGATTCATTTGGATGTTTCACATAATAAATTACAACGCTCACGGATCAAGATTGAAATTCGGATTGATTTCGGCGTGTGATCGATTGGATTGTGTCAAAACTAAGAATGGCTACAAGAGAATTGAGTTTAACTGAATTGAAAATCGTACCAAAATATATCCATATGGCGCTTATGCGAGTCTCGAAACTAACGGGGCGATTTTTTTTTTTTTTTTGGTTTAAATTTATGAATCTTTACATTTACAACAAACATGAGCATATCGGCTCTTAATGAGCTTAAGTGGCCCTTTTGCATATTAATTTTTCGTTTTCTTCGTTCGAAAACGAAGTGTGCACACACAAAAGAAACTGGCCGCACATTTCAGACCATTGCCAAAACAAAATTTCGTTGTAGTATTAATCATATTGTTCAATGTAAATTTCCACATATACATTCTGATTGTTTCTCTTTCTCTTCAGATGCACATTCGATCAATTTGAATGTTGGTCGAATATACAGACACCACTCAAAATGCACACAAACCACGTGGTGTTCAACGTCAATTTATAAAATGTATGGCATATAGTATGACATTTTCAAGAGGTTGTTGCTGTTAATGCTCTCTTCTGAGCGGGCGTACACGAATGCCATGTCTTGAATTACCATACTCATTAATTTCTCTTAATTTCTTCAGTTATGTGTCAATTTTGTGAGTTTTCTTTTTTATTATTCGCAATCCGTTCTGTATGCAGTGACAAAATGCCATTGAAATTGGCCCGGGCGACACTCTAAACTCACTTATGTAAATGTACAGTAAAATTTAATTGCTTTCGTTGACTTTGATGGAACGTATCATATTGCACCCTTTATATTTTGTCATTGTTGAATATTGCAGCATGTTCATATGATCGGTGTTTGTCATATGTCATCAGTTTTTTGCTGAAAATCCATTGAAACTCTTCATTTTCAAGAGTAATTGATGATTTTTTGCACAATCTTTTTTTGCATCCAACAAAGGAAAAAAAAACAAATGTGAAAATATTATACACAAAGTACGTACAACGATCAACAATTGACCATTTTTGTACATCTTGAAATTTCGACGACCATGCAAAATGCAATGTTTCATGTTTTCCTTATGTCGGAAATAAGCTTATGTTTCTCCGTTTCGCTTTAAAATCCATTGGATATTAAATGCTATATTGCATTCGTTCATATATATGATGCGGGCATTCCGTTCCATCATCATTTTCGCCGTATTCTTCAAATATTGTTTGAATAACGCAAAAAAAAAATAGTGAAGAGGTTTTCGATGAAAATTGGACCAAAGATGGCGAGTGAAAGATGGAAAAAACAGTGAAATTGCACTGTACAAAATTTGAATAAAAATCATCGAAACAATGAGCGTGATGATTTTGTGCGTCGCAACACGATTCCAATAAAAATGAGGCCAAAACCAACAAAAAAAAATTAATCGTCAATTAATCGTGGTACAAATGCATAAATACATAACATCATCACATGATGATGATGACCAAAGGAAATAAAATGTATGGACAGGCAGACGGTTAACGAGTTCGCTTGAATAATTTGCAATAAAAGACAACAATTTTTACCGCGATTTTTCATAATTTTTTTTTTCTTCTTCTTTTTCTGTCGAACTTGGTCGACGAAAGCACTATTGATTAGTTTGACGGCTTGTCTTCATTTTTCGCCATTGTTGTAATGAATCGAAACGGTTTAAACCGCATCATATTGCGATGATGGAATTACAACATATCGTAACAAAAGATCAGTATTTTTTTTTGCCTCTTCCTCTCTCGTTGCCTCTCAATCTGTTTGGCTTGCGTTTCTTCTTTTATTCTCTCTGCATATTTATTTGTTTGTTTGTTTGCTGTATTCTGTGGTATGGTCTGGTATGCAATAAAGCTGCATTCGTTCCACGCACACTCGCACACATAAATACCAATTGGCTGATTCTCAGAGCGATGAACGAGATTGAAAGTTGCGCAATAAAATTCATCACCGTCATTTTCGGTTTGGTTCAATTTTACTCTTCTGCTCGTCGGGTTTTTTTGCATTTCACTGGTACAGACCGCGGGAACCACTGCTACTAAAACAAACCAAAATAGAATACTTAAGATTTTTTTTTCCTTTAATCGACGAAATGAAAGAGAAAGACAGCAGGAAAACGAATGAAAAAAACGAAGACTTCACATCATATACAAACCAAACGAAAGAAAAAAAAGTGTTCAGTGTTGAAAAGAAGAAGAGGTCGACATCAATCCAATTAATCTTATTAAAATGTTCTTAAATTAGTTTTTCTTCACATCGTTCAGCTTGAATGACCATTTTAGAGTTCGCGCAAAGCAAAACAAACCGAATTTCGATGTAAAACATTTTATCAATTTTTCTCACACTTTTCGGAGTTGTTGGCGAATACGTAACAATTTACACTCTGAAAGAGATTTAATATTATACATTTTGTATTATGTTCCGCTTGAGCTCTTTTTTCGTTTTCTCTGCGCTTTTGTCACTCTTTTGCGAAAACATTCATTCGGATGTTATTATACGGTTATTTACTTTTACTTCATCAAATTCTTCAAAAGATTTGTTCTCAATCATCATATTACCGATTCTCTTCCTCCCTATCTCTGCCTGTTTGTTTGTCTCTCAGCATTTGATAGCAATTTTTTTTGCATTTTTTTGCGTAACATCAGATTCGCGAACGAAAGCATTTCTCATGGGATTGACAATTCTCCAGAAAATTGGTCCCGTGCAATTTGCGTGAGAACATCAATTACAATTCACGGAAAATATCAAAACGTTTTTCATCGTTTGTATTCACATTTAAATTTGCAACAAAGGAAGAAAAGAAACAGTCATCGCGATTCCCGGCTTAAAATCGAAAATCCAAATAATTTACAATGAAATAGAAATGTGAAAGATAAAGAAATATTTCAGATCAAGAAAAAGACAAAAAAAAACAGCACATATGCACGCGGTATCCAAACTGGTGGCAATAAATTATTTCAATAATACGGTACGTTTACATGAAAATTAAAGTTGAAGTGTTCAATGTTCATGCTCATGTCACAATACAGTTACCTTTTTAGTTAGGCAGCCATACACGCAGCGAATATGTGCATCCATTGTAGCTGGATAAATTTCAGGAATTCTTACCGTAAATTATTGCTATTTTGCGCGCGCGCGCACACACACAAAAATATTCGAAAATTTTATTTATTTTTGCTGCGGTTTTTTTTTCTCTCACTTGCATCACGCTGGTTTCTGTATGGGCTGCATAAAGCAACCGAATAAAAAAACAATGCACAAAACTACAATATATACAATGCAATAAATTTATTAAATTTAACAAAGCCCAAGATGTGTATGTTACGCATTGAGTGTAAACTCGACGGCATCACAGCACATTCTTTCTCTTAAAATACACACACGCACGCAAATACCGTGTGATAATTAGCTTAAACGGAGTAAAAATTGAACGATTCACCAAAAACCAAATCACGCTACACGCTTTCCCATCGATTTCTACAAACGACGAAATAATTTGTGTGCCATAAATAAAAACAAAAGGCAAACACACACGCACCAAATGCCGTTGGTGCTGTCGTTGAGCTTGAAAAGAAAAGGAACAAAAAAAAAACACTTTCGACCCAAAAAAAAATTTGCCATTTTTCTTTGCAATAATTCACCGGATTCACCTTTAGAAGAAATGTTTTCTAATTCAAAATTCAAATAACTCACACCATGTAATTACTAATTTCCATGGTTGAAGCAAGAAATTCCGGACTAGCGTGTGTTTGACAATTATTTTGAATAATGTGCTCTTCCATCAAATGTTATGCATTAACATTTTCGTCAGAATCCACGTTCAAACACCTCTTTATGTTCTTTTGAATGTATTACAATCTGACCGTAACGGTCATAAGAAGCATGATGTAAGTTGCATTCATACCAATTTTGACGCGAAGACCGAATATTAGATATTCATCGATATAAGCTTATGACACAATTTTTGTATTAATACATTGCAGAAGTATGATAATTGTTAAAAAAAAGTGCACTGGCCAACTACAATGTATATGGCTTGAAGCCAATCATGAGAATTGCAAAAAAGCAAAAATTAATGAAGAGAATACAAAGAAAAAAGTCACAAATTCAAACTAAGAAAAATGCATATTGTTCGAATATTGGCGAATGAAATTCATAAATAGCGACTCTTTTTCATTGTTTCCAATGAAAAATGATAAAATAAAAAAATATTGTTCTTGGAAATGGGCTGATAATGGAGGTCTTTGTGTAGATATCTCTCTAGAGACTCTCACAACTTTTTTTTACTACTTTTGTATTGCTTCGCGTATCGTTCGTGGAATAACAACAAGAAGAAAAAAAAACGTTACCAACATCGTGTGATCTTGTCTTTTAATTTCGTAAACTAAAGTACAACTTGAAGATTCTTCAATGAAGAAACTTTGAAAATACTTACATACACATTGAAAGTTTTTGAAGTTGCTTGTGGAATATACGTAAATACGTCGATATTAGGGTTTAAGTAGAAACGAACGGAATGAAGTATAACTTCAGGGGTTTTTTGTCACAACAATTTTCAATTCAATACGCTTTTTTCTTCATTTTTACAGGTTCAACATCACAATTAATTGCGCATAGTTCCAGAGTGAGAACACCAAAACGACATAATTCTGAAAGTGTTTTATACATGAGCGATGATCAGATAAATTCAAACGTATCGAATAATATTAAAAAATCACCACAAACCGAACAATCAAATCGAAATAATCATAGATTGTTTCCGGTAAGTACGTACACGGAGACAAATACATCGCCCAATTCGAAGAGCCCACAAAACCATCAACTATCCGATAAACAGATAATTAGGTATGTTTTCTTTCATTCGATTTTGTATCTAATCTTTTTGCAAGTTTTGTGTTTTTTTCTTCAATTTTTTGATTTTGTTTTTGTCTTTGTTTCAAAAGATCACCCAGCAGCGGTAACGGTCAAAATTGGCAATCGGTTGCTGATCGAATAAACGAGCTTGAGCGACAAAATCAAAACAACAATATTAATAATAAAATCATTGCAAATAACCAAAAATATACGTATCTTGATCCGGCTAAAACGACACGCTTACCAAATATGACATTAAAAGCATTTCAAAAGAATGCCGTTCAATCCTACTTCGAACGACAGCAGCAGCAACAACAACAACAACAGCAACAGCAGCAACAACAACAGCATCAGCAACAGCATCAACAGCAGAACCATCAACAGCAACAAATCTCACCCATCAAAGAGCCAATTATAAGTCAGCCAACGACAAAACAAAGAACCGGCCAAACAAAAAATGGCAACATAGTGCACGATAGTAATATAAAATTGGCCACAGCTGTGCATAGCAATGGTTTAAATTCAAATGGCGCAACTGTGATAAGACCACAATCATTACCTGTGAATAAAGTCAGCAGCACATCATTGGAATCGATATCACCACAAACCCGGCTTTCGTTGCCCAACAAACTATCCCAAATTATCAATTTAACAACACATTTGGCAGCGCAAAAGCAAGCAGCAAATGGTAATGTTAGTTTAGTGGAACGAAAAAGTGATAGAATCCCAGCATCTCGATTGAGTAAGTCAACCGGTAGTTCACCAGCAAAGCAAACAACACCAACACGATTGAATGCAGTGATAAGTGTTGACAAAAATAATTTACAAAGCATCAACGAGTCAGGTGTGCCTGTTCCACCGCCACCACCACGAAGAACAAGTCGCTCTGTGATGCCGGTTAGAAGGTAAACATTACACATTTTATTTTTTAATTACAAATCGATAAATGTTCGTGTGATTTTTATTTTTCAATGTTACAGAACGTCATCAGCGGCTGAATATTCAGCATATCGTGACCAAAATATACTCAAACAGCATTTTTCAAATGATTTACGCGGTCCAGTTGTAATGGGTCCAATTATATCATTGGATGAATGGATTCCAGAGCGGCCACCAAAAAATCCATTGCTACGTGTTCCTAGTCCTGATTTGCCACCACCACCATCACCATTAGCAAACAACAATGAAATTCTCGATGATCCATTTCCACCGCCACCACCGCCCGAATTGCTGCGAAATATGCGACAAACATTGTCTACATCGTCGACATCCGTGTCGGAGCCCGAAAATAAATTGAATACAGCCAACCGACGAAATAGTTTTGCCGGTTCGTCAACTACACGCAAACCATTTGTCAAAGGAAATAATTTTGATAATATATCGCCACCATTGTTGCCACGAAAACAAAATTCAATGGACCTATTCAATCCGCGACCATTCTCAAGTATGCGACAACCACACGGTTTTCAAGTAAAAAAATCCGTTGTACAATCACCGCAACATGCTGTCAAAACGAATAAAGTGATTATGAATGGTCGATTAGAATGGCCCAATTCAAATGGCACACCGGTCAATAATAATACATCATCATCTGGTAGTGCAGTTTCATCACCATCACAATCCATTCACAATCGTACGCCACCATCATCGAATGACAGTCGACTATCGATGCGGAAACGCACTCATAATGCTTCGTTGGCACTGGCGTCGTCGCCCGATGATAATAATCGCATTCGGTAAGTTGAATACGACAAATTTTCTATTCCCCATTTTTGTTCCCTTTCAAAAAAAAAAAAACATCTCGCATTGTTCGAGAGAGAGAGAGAGACACACACACAAAAAAAAGAGTTAATGCAAAATGTAAAACTGAAGAAAATTACAAATATGTCAGTATCAATGGTTTTGATATCACGATTTAAAAAGAAGGAAAAAAAATAATACCGAATTTAGTTAAATACAAACTGAAAATGAGAAGTAAACATAAAAAAACAGAACACGATCAATTCCATTCACATTGTGCATTTCTCTTTTTTCCCTCTCAAACGCGCGACAAATCACGACAAATTCTATACCGATTTGAATGCGCATCGAACAACGAAATCTCGAAATGTTGATCTCTCTTCAAAAAACAAACAATGCTCACCATTTGACATAAGCTCGAGCTTATAAATCCAATATGTATCCCATACACATGCATATCACAACATTTTCCAAACAAATGAGCATTTTGATGTTATAAATAAAAAAAAGAACAGAAAAGTGAAGAAAAACACAATTTGAAACATTTTAAAATAGTAATTAAATAATGATAAAAGGAAATTTCTGATGAAGAAATGTACAGCGCAAAACATTTGTATATAATGAGTTAAATTTTTGTAAGAATATGAAACATAGTGTATAAAATAATATCGTGACAATTCAATATGACAATACAATATTGAATTGAAATTTTTCAATGTAAAATCATAGCAAAATGCAAGGCAGCCTCAAATGAGATAAAAGAAAAAAAAACAAATTCACATCCCAAATAAAATGCTGTGTTACTAAACGGTTGCGGAAAAAACTGAATTAACAGCACATCGTACAGGCAATGACAGAATGGAATGAGAAATCAAAAGAAGAGCAATGAATGAAACAGTAGGAAATATATTTATATCTAAAAAGTAGTAGATAGACAACAAGATCACGATTTGTTATGCAATTTTGAAGTAGCCGGTATTCGATGAAAATTTATGACAAACAAGGCATGTTCACAGTTCATGCGAATGAAGCAATTTGTTCATTTTGCCGTTCGCGAATCTAATCGCTGCATGCGATGTGCTTTTTATGCTCTCTCTCTCTCTCTCAAACACAAAAATGTGTCATCCATAGTGTGTAATTGTTGGTGTTTTAATTGGGATTGAGATGCATCAAGCGTCGCTTTGTCAAGATTCTGTACAGCTGAAAAGAAGAAATAAAACGGTTCACTTTCAATAAGAAAATTTTGTTGGTTCGTATTATTCGCATTGCTATTCAGAAATATGAAGTGAAAGTGATTTGATATAAAATCAAATATCCGAGATTGCCAACTGCTTCTGATGTAGATCAACACGTGCATTTTATTTGAATGTAAAATTTACCACTAGTAAATTCGATGGATTGTGTAAAGTGTGCTTGTTTTAACATTTTGTGCTTTGTTTAGCCGATCATCATTTGGTACATGGGTTTTTCATCTCTTTGTTTCTCTTTGGCTCTTATTTGTTAGCTATTTTCATTTACACAATTGCTCCACACGCATATTTAGCACCTTTTGCGTATATGACATGGGCCACGCATGAAGAAGCATGTAATAAAGCGACACACGCATTCAACGATAAATCTCTGAGCTGTGGAACAATCGGGCGATAGGGCGATAAAGAAAAAATAGAAATTACAGCAATTTAATGCGAGAGAAATGTGTAAAGGAAACAAAAGCGATCGAAGTGAGGCGTTAAATTAAAAGAAAACAACAACGCGATTGCATCGCATTTCATAATAATCTAAGCCAGAGTTCGACATTTGGACGCTTAATAATCAAGTAATGAACAAGCCACAACAAATAGACAAAAAAAAAACACACATACGCACACAAATAATAAACGCATGCGTCATAGTTGTTGTGTGTGCTTCAACTTGAAATATTTTTGCGTTGGCACACACAACTTGAACTAAATTTTATTGGCATCGAATGGCCGCACAGCGATTGCATTAATAAGAAATATAAACATATCGAACAAAAATGTAAATATCGCAATAGACAAACTGAACGCATTAGCGATCAATCAATTTATGTAAGATTTCCGAACATCGACTGTCTGTCTGTATGTGTGCATACATATCTAAACACAAAAATATTATATTAAAACGGTCAATTTAAATTGCTATATTTCATTCTTTTAATAATCTCATTGACTATTTTCGTCTTGACTCGATTGGCGGGCACTGTTGTTTCATCGTAACTTTACAACGATCGTTGGTTTTTTTTATGTAACATCTAATTAGCAAACTAATCGAAGTACACATCTAGTGCGCTCACCGTACATACAGAAAATTGTTCCAAGAGATAGAGAGAAGAGCGACAGATAAACACACAAGAAACAAGAAATCAAACAACGTTTTCGTGAGCTCTCCATACTGTACTACATACACAGTTATTGTATGTTTATTATTACAAACGATCGAGTTAATTTGTATAACGCTTTTATAATAAAATAATAATTTTGCGAGCAGAAAAAAAAATTCTATTTGCATTGCCATTTCGGTAAATAGTTTATTAGCCGACGGCAGACGTTTGTTGGCAAAATGCAAATGCAACAAATATAAATTCAACTTTAGGTTGTTGTTGTTGTTTTTTCCGTTTTAATTTTTCCCTCTGTATGAGTGTGCTTTTATTTCGCTTTATTTTATTTCACATGTGGATCAGTACATGAAATCGATCCAATGAAATGTGAACTATAGAATTTACTGTATATTTGATGTCTCCTCGTAGGCAATTCATATAATTTTCCAAACATTGCTCGAAACAGATGAACCATACCGTATCGAGAGATATTCCGTTTAATGATTCTATTACAAAATTGGCTTTGTTCCTCCTCAACAACAGTTTCAACGGGTAAAAGGTTTTTCAACTTGAAATGATCTTTGAAAGGAACAAACAAAATGTTTGGCACTTTCACCATTGGACGCAATTTCGAGGTGAAGAAACAAAGATGAAAAGAAACCAACCAATGGCCCAAGCTCGCTATTGCTCCGATCCAAGACATTTCAATTTAAAATAGTTCCGTTTTCGAATGCCCATAGAATAAAACAATTGTCTATAAATGGCGATTCACACTTTGAATTTTATTTTATTTTCATCACATTTAAAAAGCTTTGCGACGGGCCGTTTGTTGGTTGTCGAGATGGAATGAAACACGACAGAGAAAAAAGCGACAGAAAATTCTCTTCATTACCGAAAATGAAATGCGATGCAGAATTGATTCACAACATAAATCAGCGTTGGTTTATTGTTTTGATGCAATTTTTTTTTGGTTTCGTCGGTGAGCTGATGTTTTTGACATCCAAGCCAAAAATAAAACATGAAAATAAAAGTGAGAGCAAGAGCCAATGCTCGGCATTTGTATTGATACACTGAGTGCGTTATGCTGTGACGCCTTCATTCGCCATTCGATACTACACAAAACGAGACGAAATGTACACAATTTATATTTTTTGGTGCAAATTTTAAACAGACATGAGTGATCCATTTGACCCAGTCACCATTCTATTAAAAATGTGTGTATTCATTTTATGAAATTGGCAATAGATTGAGCGTGATACATCATTTTTGGCAGATACAAATACACGTTGAAAATTGAGGACCAGGAATCGTGCATACACAATTGTGCGCTTTTATCTGCATAAAATAATCCGTATGCGCCGCACACACACTATACCATATTCGGTGGAAGAATGAGGCCGGATTGATTTGCGTTCAAGAGAAGCTTTGTGTGCTAAATATAGCGTGCTTTGTAATACTTAATGAAATAATAGTAATAACAATTCTTTTTTTTTTTCGGAGAAAGATTGAGTGTACTTCAAAGTGATATGCTCACTGAGACACATACTCCCACCCCGATTGTTACATTGCAGTGTTGCACATTTTGGTGATTTTGTATGCATCAATTGATTGCACCATCCTGAAGAGAGAGAAAAAAAAAACAACAAGGAAATAAACGCCAATTTATGCGCATTTTTCTTGCAAAATCTTTCTTTCGCTGATGAATTACAAATATGAATAGTGTTTGAATATTTATGCATGCTTTGTAATTTGATCATAATATTTATGCATTTCAATCACATTTGGATGGTGCGGCGACGAACAAGCTATAACGCTTATATGCTCATTTTCATTTGGGCGGCTGTGTTATCTCTCCATTTCAGTCTGTATCCCACTTATAGATGTATGTTTGGTCATTACGTTGTGTCAGCATGATTTTAATTTCTTTTGTAAGCCAGTTAAAACCAAAAATTAAACAACATTATTACGATTTTAATATCTTTTTATGTACATTGTACATTTGCAATGTACAGAAATGAAGTGAAGAAAGAGAGAGAGCGCGCCGAGAGAGTTGGTTTTTGTCATTGGTTTGAGATGTAGGTGAGATTGTTATGTGTTTTATGCACGGAGCGCACTCGGCCGTCACATGAATAGATTTTTGTATATGGAGAATCGACAGGCATTAGGCAATGTCGAAATGAATAAATGTGCTCAGTTGAGCACAAATCATGTAAAAACTCGCATTTTTTTTTTTTGCTTCGTACTAATCGAAAGCATTTAGCCTTTGGCTGTTTGTGGCCCGGGTCTCATTCAAATGAACCATTTTATACCACACACATATGACATTTGTATATGCCGTAGACTGCATGAAAAATTCATCCTATTTGCAAGACACATTCAGTAATTAAAAAAAAGTACACATCAACGCGAATAATTTGCATTTCTAAAGGAAAAACATGATCTGCAGCAACTGTGTTTGATATGCAATTTTTTCGGTGATTGACTTGACCAATAGTGCATTTGGTTGAGATGTTAATTTATCACATAGGTGAATTTATTACGTTGTCAAGTGTCTAGGTTCGTAAAATCCCGCATCTTTGCTCGAATGCAACGCCTGGGAATCAATTAGTTGGAATTGTTTTTCTTATTTTTCATTCAATTTCAGAAAATTTAAAATGT